TGCCAGATACATACATGGTTTAAGTTTGGCAGGAATCCATTCATCGGTTCTTGAGATAACGTGATCATGAGAACGGAACGTATGGATGGACGGACGGACAACCCAAAAACATAATGCCTCCGGCTACTTCGTAACGGAGGCACAACAATTCACCGCACACCCAATGAATGTAATATTTAAAGGGAAATCCCACCAAGGGGTTGTGGCGTGCCCCTGTAATCCAGCTAACAATTGAAGTTATAAACTGATTCAGCCGAGGAAGCTGGTTTGAAACTGACTCACGTCTTTCGGATAGTGACGTTAAAGGTCGGTCGTAAATAACCATATCTGATTGATACACGTCTGTAAAAACCCAATAGACACACACACACACACCAAATAGACAACTTATCTAAAAGAAAGCAGAAAATCAGAGAAGCAAACTGATGAAAGTTTCAATTAAATCTGACAAAATATTAAGAAACTTATGAATTTTTGAAAGTTGTTATCACTAGTACTTTCCTATGTGTTCCAACATACACTGTTGGTCATAATGGTGGAATAATTATTTTTACCCCAATTTATGGACTGATTTTCACAATGATTTATTTCTAATAGATCTAAATAATAGTATACATTCTCAGATTCTATTGAATATTAATTTGTGAGTGTTTGTTTTACGTGCCTGCTAAAGCATGTGTGTGCTATAGGGCTGTGCACAACAGTGTAATGAGGTACCCGAGTACACTCCCAGGCTCACAGGCGATTACTCGAATATTCGGACGCCATGTTTTTTTTATAATTTTTTTAAATTTTTTAAAATTTTTTAAATTTTTTTAAATTTTTTAAATTTTTTTTAATTTTTTAAAATTTTTTTTAATTTTTTTTATTTTTTTGATTTTTTTTTAATTTTTGGATTTTTGGATTTTTTTCCTTTTTTTTCTTTTTTTGCCACTACCACACCACTCGGCAGTTTCTCAGGTCCCTCGCTGAAAACGCATGCAACTTTACTTTGAGTTGCAGTTGAAGGCGCCGATTTAATAAGAATAATAACAGTAAACAATGCTGTTTTAAAAACCAAAGATGGCAGAATAATCCATTTTCCTCCAAGTCCAAACAGAAATCTGGACATTTGGTCCCAGTTTCTGAAAGGTGAGTTTGACAGTCAGGGGCGTACGCAGGATTTTTTCAAGGGGGGGGGGGGGTTTAAAATATTTTGCTCCCGAAAATTTGAAAATCGCGCCGGTCGAAAAGTCGCTCAGTGGGGGGGGGGGGGGGTAGCGGACACTTTTTTTTTTTTTTTTTTTTGGTCTCGAAATTTCAACATTTGACATTTTTCTTTGTTGAGGGGGGGGGGGGGGGGTAAGGTCACCTTATTTAGGTGAGCTGTGGGTATAATTTTTTTTTTTTTTTTTAGGTTTAGGTTTAGGTTTAGGTTTTTTTTAGGGGGGGTTTACATACATAAAAATACCAAAGGGGGGGGGGGGGTTTGAACCCCAAAACCCCCCCTCCCCCCCTGCGTATGCCCCTGTTGACAGTGCTTGAGTTGGGAAACATTTTTACCGACGGTACCGTGCCAGCGGACGCAGCTCTCCCTGGCACGGGTAAGCGTGGGCCTGGACCTTTTTTTTTTTTGCGGCCGAATATTCGGGTACAAGAAATCGTACCCGAGTAGTTGTCAACCGTGCGGGTACTCGAGCATTCGACTACCCGTCGCAGCCTTAGTGTGCTACTATGCTAATCAACTAGGGGACCTACGTCCTTAAGTCATAACAGACAGTAATGAGGATTAATGCCTCACAAAAGGGCACTAATAGCGAGCTTTTGATTTGGGCACCCGACGTCGGCTACTACGAGGTACTGGAGCGTGGAGACGTTGCGCAGCTCACGTCCGTTCCCTTCGCGTCAGTGCTTTCGATTTTTCACGTCGGTGCTATCACCTCACCAATTTTTTTAGATCAGGTGATTAAACAGGTAATATATTCAGAGTGCGCGAAAATCTGATACAAAGAATAACATAAGGATGACAGAAAAAGAAAGTTAAAATGATAAAACAAAAAAACATGAGAAAAGGTGATAGAAGAATAAACAAAGAATAACATGAGAGACAGAAAGAGAAAGTGATATAATACTAAAGAATTACATTGGAGGAGGTGATAGAAGGAAGAAACAAAGAATAACATAAGATAGAAAGAGAAAATTATATGATGATAAAACAAAGAATAACATAAAGAAAGACAGAAAGTTAAAGTGATAGAATGGTAAAACAAAGAATAAGAGAAGGTGATAGAAGGAAGAACAAAGAATAACATAAGGAAAGATAGAAAGAGGAAGTGATAGAATGATACAAACAAAGAATAACATAAGGAAAGACGGAAAGAGAAAGTGATAGAATGGTAAAATGAAGAATAACATAAGAGAAGGTGATAGAAGGAAGAAACAAAGAATAACACAAGACAGAAAGAAAAAGTGATAGAATGGTAAAACAAAGAATAACATAAGAGAAGGAGGTAGAAGGAAGAAACAAAGAATAGCATAATGAAAGACAAAAAGAGAAAGTGATAGAATGGTAAAAAAAAAGAATAAAATAAGAGAAGGTGATAGAAGAAACAAAGAATAACAAAAGAGAAGGTGGTAGAAGGAAGAAACAAAGAATAACATAAAAAAAGGTGATAGAAGGAAGAAACAAAGAATAACATAAGGAAAGACTGAAAGCGATAGAATGTTAAAAACAAAGAATAACATAAAAGAAGGTGATAGAAGGAATAAGAAACAAAGAATAACATAAAAGAAGGTGATAGAAGGAATAAGAAACAAAGAATAACATAAAAGAAGGTGATAGAAGGAATAAGAAACAAAGAATAACATGAGGAAAGATAGAAAGAGGAACTGATAGAATGATAAAAACAAAGAATAAAATACAAGAAGGTGATAGAAGGAAGAAACAAAGAATAACATAAGGAAAGACAGAAAGAGAAAGTGATAGAAAAGTAAAACGAAGAATAACATAAGAGAAGGTGATAGAATGTTAAAAACAAAGAATAACATAAGAGAGGGTGATAGAAGGAAGAAACCAAGAATAACATAAGGAAAGATAGAAAGAGAAAGTGATAGAAAAGTAAAACGAAGAATAACATAAGAGAAAGTGATAGAATGTTAAAAACAAAGAATAACATAAGAGAGGGTGATAGAAGGAAGAAACAAAGAATAACACAAGACAGAAAGAGAAAGTGATAGAAAAGTAAAACAAAGAATAACATAAGAGAGGGTGATAGAAGGAAAAAACAAAGAATAACATAAGGAAAGATAGAAAGAGGAAATGATAGAATGATAAAAACAAAGAATAACATAAGAGAAGGTGATAGAAGGAAAAAACAAAGAATAACATAAGGAAAGACAGAAAGAGAAAGTGATAGAATGTTAAAAACAAAGAATAACATAAGAGAAGGTGGTACAAGGAAGAAACAAAGAATAACATAAGAGAAGGTGATAGAAGGAATAAGTAACAAATAATAACATAAAAAGGTGATAGAAAGAATAAGAAACAAAGAATAACATGAGGAAAGATAGAAAGAGGGACTGATAGAATGATAAAAACAAAGAATAAAATACAAGAAGGTGATAGAAGGAAGAAACAAAGAATAACATGAGGAAAGACAGAAAGAGAAAGTGATAGAATAGTAAAACAAAGAATAACATAAGAGAAGGTGATAGAAGGAAGAAACAAAGAATAACATAAGGAAAGATGGAAAGAGAAAGTGATAGAATGGTAAAATGAAGAATAACACAAGAGAAGGTGATAGAAGGAAGAAACAAAGAATAACATAAGGAAAGACAGAAAGAGAAAGTGATAGAAAAGTAAAAACAATAATAACATAAGATAAGGCGATAGAAGGAAGAAACAAAGAATAACATAAGAGAAGGTGGTAGAAGGAAGAAACAAAAAATAACATAAGGAAAGACAGAAAGAGAAAGCGATAGAATGTTAAAAACAAAGAATAAAATAAGAGGTGATAGAAGAAAGAAACAAAGAATAACATAAGAGAAGGTGGTAGAAGGAAGAAACAAAGAATAACATAAGGAAAGACAGAAAGAGAAAGTGATAGAATGTTAAAAAACAAATAACAGAAAAGAAGGTGATAGAAGGAAGAAACAAAGAATAACAGAAAAGAAGGTGATAGAAGGAAGAAACAAAGAATAACAAAAGAGAAGGTGGTAGAAGGAAGAAACAAAGAATAACAAAAGAGAAGGTGGTAGAAGGAAGAAACAAAGAATAACAACAGAGAAGGTAGTAGAAGGAAGAAACAAAGAATAAAATAAGAGAAGGTGATAGAAGGAATAAGAAACAAAGAATAACATAAAAGAAGGTGATAGAAGGAATAAGAAACAAAGAATAACATGAGGAAAGATAGAAAGAGGAACTGATAGAATAGTAAAACGAAGAATAACATAAGAGAAGGTGATAGAAGGAAGAAACAAAGAATAACATAAGGAAAGACAGAAAGCGGAAATGATAGAATGATAAAAACAAAGAATAAAATAAGAGAAGGTGATAGAAGGAAGAAACAAAGAATAACATAAGGAAAGATAGAAAGAGGAAATGATAGAATGATAAAAACAAAGAATAAAATAAGAGAAGGTGATAGAAGGAAGAAACAAAGAATAACATAAGGAAAGGTGATAGAAGAAGAAACAAAAGATAGCAAGAGGAAATAATAGAATAATAAAAACAAAGAATAACATAAAAGAAGGTGATGAAACTACACTCACGTTGACGTTTTTTACGGCAACGGCGATTCACGGAAATTGCCCCAGACTCCTGTCGGGTGATATGGAAGGGAACGTGGGCCCAGAAGCTCACGCATGCGCAAGGGATAAATGTGACGTCACGCATAGTAGCTCACGTCGGGTACCAAATCGAAAGCTTGCTATTATAGCTGATCGACACAATTGTTATTCTTGGGCCTCACAGTAACGAGGCCATTGCTTAGCCACTGAATCATGACTGTATGTAGCGGGGGCTAGGGTACGTCACTGCCCTCACAAATACCAAAAAAAACAAAGAAGATGCAATTAATTATCAATAATACATTGCATTTCCCCCGGTCTCCAACAGGAAAAGTTCCTCTGTAGGGCCATGCATTATGGTTCAAGGCATGCCCACATAGAGGATTTTTTTATGTTAGGAGTTAAGTCGCATAATGATGATATATAAATGCGTTCATAACTTAGCACCATCTTACCTTCAGGTAGGCTTAATCTATCCTAATGATGTACATGAGCATCATACAAGGCAAATAGACTGTGGATGTTTAAGAGTGCCTAGATTTCACACTGATTGCTATAAGTGTAGCCCAATTGTTTCCTCTATATTTGAATGGAATAATAGATAATACGATGAGAACGGCTTCTTCTGTCAATTCATTTTTGAATGGCTCAGCCGACCATACACTACATGCATGTTCTGTAATATTAACATGATTTATTCACATAATTGCAACTTAATCAATATTTTCCTATTGGCATTTCAGTTGAACTAGGTCAATAAAAAAAATGTTTCTTTTTTAAATGAGTATTCCTTTGTGCCACGTCTATCATTGCTGTATCATATCTTTCTAAATGTACTATGGAATTTTATTTTCACTGTTCTGTATAAACGTTATGCTTTTGTGATGCAAATATGTTCTTGTTCGTTCAGGGCCCCATGGAAGACCACTACTTATTGGTGAATGGGCTACCCTGACAAAAGATTAGAAATAAATAAATATATAAATAAATATGCTATCTAAACTATAGTTTGAGTAGTGCCCCAAGGGAGAAGGTACTTACAAGAAAAACAGAAATTAATGATATTTTTGTACACAGCAAATGGGAGAGTTATCCAAGTCCTACATGTAGGTCACAATCCACTGACCGAAATACCAATTTGAGATTCGTATAGACTTTAATAGTGATGTCATACATGTATTTCATACATTCATAACTTCCTTACTATTGGTCCGATTCATTTCAAACTTTTGACATTCTGTTTTTATTATATTTCTGCTTTCCTACAAATCAACTATTTAGGGTTGGATTGCCCTTTAACTTTAAAAGTAGAGCGAGAAAATATTTTTAATACACTTCCCGGTATGTTTGATATTTTCAGGAAGTATTTCCCAACTGTAACATCATTAATATTAATTTAAACATTATTTAAAGCAATGTTTGCTGCATTCAGCACGAGAAAATACTAATATTTTCATGTATAAATTGTCCAAACTCGCAATTGAATGGAACACACACGCAAGTAACGCTGTTTTGCTTGGCAACTCAACCAAAATGGCGACTTATACGGTGTCTGCCCATTGCAAGCTCGGTACAAACATTGCACTGTTTTTTTTTTTGCCATTTTTTATTTTTCTATGTCAAAATGCTGTTCATTCAAATCAGGTTCTGAACGTTCTAAAACTCATTTTAAAGCAAACATTTCTTGCAAACATTCAGGTGTGCAAAACCCTGAAAGTTTTAAATATCAAAGGATTTCCTTACTCAAATTATAATATAAATGATTATGCTGTGGCAATTATTTGTATTGTATAGCAGCACAAAAGTGATGTGCATTGTTTTGATGTGGTCCCATTCACACACTTATATAATGCTCCTTTAAGTTGGGTTTGTGAAAGGGGCATAAGGCAGTAACTTTGACTGGTTTACCTTTGACAGAGCCCTGAGGATAGCCAAATTGAGTAGCTAGGGGAAATGGTCTCGTCTTGGCCTCTTCTTTCCACTTCAGGTATGCATATTCCGCCTCTTCTTTCCTCCTCCTTTCGGCTTCTTCTTTCTTATTTCTAGTCGGTTTTGCTCAAACTTTCACTGACCTGTTTCTCTCATTTTCCTGCTTTTATTAAAAGCAACTTAATATCAGGGTGGACTTCCCCTTTAACACTCACCTTTGCTTTCTCCTGGACTCCCCTCTTCTCTTCTGCTTCAAGTTGTTTCTTTGTCTTCTCTAGCCTCCAGTTGGCTTTTCTCGATTCCTGCTCCTTAGTTGTTCTTTCCTCAATCCACATGTTGACCTTGACCTCAATGACCTTAGCTTTCTCCACCTTCATCTTCTTCTCTTCTGCAATCTTCAGCTGTTTCTCCCTCTGCAGCTTGGCCTATACTCGATAAAGAGAGAAAAGAAGAGAAAAGAGTGAGTGAGAGTGAGAAAGGGGGAGGAAGGAGAGGGAGAGGGAGAGTGAGAGAGGGGGAAGGGGAGGAGGGGGAGGAGAGGCTGGAGAGAGAGAGAGAGAGAGAGAGAGAGAGTAAGAGAGAGAGGGAGAGTAAGAGAGAGAGGGAGAGTGAGAGAGGGGGAAGGGGAGAGGCTGGATAGAGAGAGGGAAAAGAGTAGGGGAAGGGAGAGAGAGAGAGAGAGAAGAGAGTGAGAGAGAAAGGGGGAAGGAAGAGAAAGGGGAAGGAGAGGGAGAGAGACAGACGGACAGAGGAGGGAGAGTGAGAGAGAGAGAGATGGAAAAGGGGAAGGGGGAGGAGGGGAGAGGGGGAGAAGATTCAGAATATGGTGAAAAGGCAAGAATCACGACACCTCACCAACAGCTAAGGTAAAGACAATACTCTCAATTTGTGGTCATAAAGGGTGCTAGAAATTCTAGCACCAAGTTAAATAACATTTTACATCAAATACCACACTTTAAACAAAATGAAGTTAGCAAAACTTTAAACAATATGCGGCAAACGCTGGTAGCCCTCACCCTATCTAGCCGCCCCCCCCCCACCCCTCCCCTCTACATTGTTTGTGATTATTTTTCAATGCTAAAGAATCTGTGCTGAAATTTTACGCCTTTTTCTTTCGAGCCTTGCGCATCTTTTGAAATAAATTTTTCGAAAGTCGTACCTACCGTTACAAAGTCACTTAACCCTTTGTCTTTGCATGTCAGTCCAAAATCGCTCATTTCATGATTTATGTACAAAACATGTATGGAAATCTCATTTTTCAAAAAAAAGAGATAAAACATTGGTTATTTGTTCTTGTTTTATAGCTTAGGTGTTTATTTCGGGGTTAAAAATAGTTGAATTTAAGTTAGAATTAAAATAAAACAACAAAAACAATAAAATACATAAATAAAAATAAAAAAGGAAATACATAAGGAATAACCTGGCAATTCCAATTTTCTTTTGGTATTACTATCCCCAATGGTCTAAAGAATATATGTACCGGCAGTGAAAATTAATGTTTAAATATGAAGAATATATGATTTATAGGTAAAAATGTGAATGTTATTACCTTACTTGCATGAATTACCATTAATATGCAAATGAGTGAATTTTTCAAAAAATGTTTATTACCATAGTAATCTATACATTTCACTTGCATGCATGCAAATTTTCGCAGAGAACAAAGGGGGGGGGGGCCTTAGAAATTTAGAAATTTCCCAAAACTTTGTATTACCTTTAAAGGTGAGGGGTTTGATGGGACTGCCAAGAGCCCTATAGACCAACTGTAAGTTTCATTACATTTCACATAAAGAAAAAAAAAAGTTTCATTACATTTATTTCTTCTTGGGTTCCCAAAGTTAGGGGGATATGCCAGCTCATACACCACCATTTGCAGTTTTGTGGACCCCACACCCTTTCTCTTTCGTCCGCAAGAACTTTGGGGATCCCGTTTAGTAATAGCATTACCTTTTCTTTCACTCTCTTTCTCTCTTGTTTAGTCTTCTCGATCAGCCATTTCTCCCACGGGGTCAACTGCGAGACTTTGTTGGATGTCGTCTGCGAGGTAGATGTTGAATGGGAGTCACTGGTCTTTGGCAGGGAGTACCTGGACGATTTGCCGCAACACTCCGTCTGAGACCTTTGAGCGAGAGGTCGATGAAGACCTCGATCGTGACCATGAAGTTGGGTCTGTGGTCTAACATTAGAGGACCGTGAGCTACAAGTTCATGGAATACATTCCAAGATTTTAAAAGAAAAAAGAAAATGTAAGTTGTGAGCAGATTTGATTTGATTTGGTTTACTGGTTCTGGCATAATTTTGTTTAAATTATGCACATATTATTGAGCTTAGAACACATATTTTATGATTTATAAAAAGAAATCAACTATTGGCTTAAAATGAGGCCCAAGCATAAATTATTATATAAATAAGATATTCAATTTTCAAAGTATTTATTATTTCATATTTTATTAAGCAGTTGTATGTCAGAATAGGGTTAAAGTATGCAAGTTACATGTAAATTCCTTTTGGCTCTAAACAGACAACATTAGGTATTAGAGGTTAGCTTAGTTTGGATGATGATGATGATGATTAAGAAGTGGATATGTCTTCATCATCTTCTGATTGGATTCCCAACACATCGTCCGGTGAATCCTTGATTCTGCTATGAGATAGGATGGGGAGAAGGGAACGTGTCGATTCACCAGTCTCGTCTAGGGACAAGGATGTGGTAGCGTGTTTGCCATGATCTCCCTGGCCATCTGAACTTTGACCTGAATTCTACTCACATGATTGGGGATACTGGATTACCTTATAGTCCAAGTTTCATTGACTTAGGACTTATACTTTCAAAATTATATCAAAAATTCAAAAACTTAACCCTAAGTTAAAGATGAAGTTGAGTTCTGGTCATGCGATTGCATTGTGAAAGAAACGGTGTGGAACCGACTAGAAAAGGTTGATCATCTAGCATATAAGAATTTGTGTGTATTGCAAGGTTCTGAAATCATCAAAATGATAAGAAATTTGGCCAAGTCTTGATAAAGTTACAAACACTTGCACAGAAAGATGTATATGGGACTACACGAACACGTGGCGTAAAAAGCCGGCCCCCCGATTTTTACGATTTTACATGCAAATTTAGAATATGAAGGCATTTGAAGAGCCATGCTTTTCAGGGAACATGTCTTAACTGATGTTCTTCCACACTTGCATAATAAGAATGAGTAATGCTCACAAATTATTTTTCACCTCTTCCCAGAACTCAACCTTCTCTTTAAGTTTTTGATGTTGACGCTGTCAATGCCGCCGCAGTCACCGTAAAAGCAGCGCCTATGTCTCGCTTTTTTAGTGATTTTTAGATCAGTTGAGTTTTGTACAGTGGTGTTTGAAATGTTGAGAATCAATAGAACAGTTTTTAATACAGCAGCAATTGGAGCCACAGTTTTCAAATTAAATACGGTAACCCATACAAAGAAACCAGTTCAAACCAAGTACAGGTTGGGCAACGTCACCCTGGAAGAAGTGCAACACCTGAATTCAAAGGGACTCGGTTGGGCCACACATATTGACCAAACTTCATCAAATTACATGTAGGCCCAAACTAGAGTTCTATGCAGCTACATGTACAGTACATGGGACCCACAGCATAAGTCAGACCAGGACAAACTAAACATTCACAACGAGGGACTATGACAGGGAATCAAGTGTTACAAAGATGCTGGAAAATCTAAAATGGGAATCTTTGAAAGTCCGCAGAACCAAAGCCAGACTACCTGCATTGTATAAGGAAACGCATAACACATGGATTAACACCCAGCAACATATCAACTTATCTTCTCATTTGAAAATGGTGCTACGGTACATACTTTATACTCTTTGCATTGCAGCTTTCTTGCATATTTATGCATCCACAACAACCACTGAGCTGATAAGAATTTTAAGCAACTACCCAAAGCTTGATATTTAAAAACTAGATATCTTTGAAACAATGATATTTCCACCTTTCAATTAACATCAAATACTCCACTTTTGAAATTGATCATGTCTGGTGACGTGGAGCGTAATCCGGGACCTGAACATTCAAATTCGTTACGTAATACACTCAATTGTCTACTACTAAATGACTGTTCCAGACCTGCCAACCTCTGGAGTTCAAAAACTGTACTCTTTAATCCCAAAAGTTGTATTTTACTGACAAAAGTTGTATTCTTAAAAATAAACACGGACTGTTACGCGGATCAATTTTTTTATGGATCATTTGTTGAATATGCATGATTTTGTCACGACTGAACTGTGTTCGATGAACCAATGAACATCCCTAAATGTCTAATTTGAGATGCTTGTAGGATATTTTACAGGACAGAATGGATATTTTACAGGACAGAATGGGCATTTTGCCATTGAAAATGGCTAACACACACACAAAATAATCGTATTTTATTCAGGAAAATCGTACTGTCGTATTTGCTTCTAAAAATCGTATTAAATACGACTAAATCGTACTGGTTGGTAGGTCTGCTGTTCCCTTGGTAATAAACTGAATGACCTGAAAGTGAGTTACTTCCGATAAAATAGATGGATGAACTCTGATTCCTGCGATGGTGAAATCTTAGATGTACAACAATATCAAATCTTTCGTAAAGACTGCAATCACAACGGAGGAGGTGTACTTTTTGCATGAAAACGATTCACGGCTCCGAGTTTGAGATTCCCGAGTTTGAGAGAGCATTGATAACACATGTGAACTTTACACTGACTTGTGTTGCAGGCAACAATCAAAGATGTATTTATCAAAGGAAATAGTTAGAATATCCAGAAGAAAGAGAAGAGTTTACAGAAGAGCTTTAATACAGGAAAGCAAAGAAAGCAAATAATCACATACTGTACATGTAAAGAGGATTTCCATAACAATGAAACACCTTGCTCTATTGTGTACACTCCAAGACATTTAAATGCCATTACCAAATCATGCATGCTCAAGTCTTGCCAGTATCATTCTTTGAGTATTTAAATAGAGGAACAGCTGAAAAGTCTTTTATCTATTCACAGATTGAAAAGTGATTGTTATAACTTTCCCTGAATGTGCATATATTAAGATGCATGGTGGGAAATCAATTGTTCAGGCAATGATTATTCATCAGCTCATCATGTTTATGCATAAGTCACAAGAAATGTTGGTGAGGAGGGGATAAGTTGTACTAACTGTCCTAAAACTCTTTTTCTGTTGGTAAGGTATATATGGAGGAGACTGCACTTATACAAAACGAAACGAACCATATCTTAGTTACAAAAAAGCAGACTGGAAAGCATTTGAACAATTATGCGACACAGAACTATCCAATATAACTCCAAATGAAAACACAGAAGAATACTACAACGAATTCATAAACGTCACAAAGAAAATTATGAAGGAAACCATACCAACAGTAACAAAAAAACATAAACCACACAATCCATGGTGGAATGAAGACTGCCAAAAGAGAATTAAAGAACGAAACAAAGCCAAAAATAAAGCCATCAAATACATGACGAAAGATTATCTCTACGAATACCTAAATAAGAAAGCCCTTGCACAGAAGACAATAAGAGAAGCAAAAAGACAACATTGGAACAAATACTGCTCCAGGCTTAATAGATTCACTCCGACTTCAGAAATTTGGAAAATGATAAAAAGATACAACAATATCATACCAAAAAAAGAATGCTTACCAACACTAAAAGAAAATGATATAGAATATATTACCGATCAGGAAAAGGTCAACAAGATAGCTGAAGATTATACTTACGTAACTAAACACAAAGTTGACCCTAGCTCCCAACTGTACACTCACGTAGCAAATAATATAGAGAAAATTAAAAATAAAGAACCAGAAAATTTTCCCTCAGTCCTAAACGACAATTTCACACTATCAGAATTAGAAGCAGCAATCGAACGTCAAAATTCCTCCTCTACCCCCGGACACGATAAGATTAAATATTTAATATACCAAAAACTCACGAAATCAGCAAAACAGACCATGCTAAATTTGATAAATCAAATTTGGAGCTCGGGGCAAATTCCAAGGCAATGTAAACACTCAATTATTATCCCAATCAAAAAACCTAACAAAGAACCTCATAAAGTATCATCGTATAGACCAATTGCACTCACAGCTTGTTTCATCAAAATCATGGAAGGAATGGTGAATGTAAGACTACAGTGGTTCATCGAAAAACAGGAAATACTCCCTTCATTCCAAATAGGATTTAGAAAGAATAGAAGCACTACAGATAGTATCGTCAGTTTAGAAAATGAAATACAGAAAAACATAGCCATTAAACAGCATACAGTCGCCATTTTTCTCGACATAGAAAAAGCTTATGATACACTTTGGGTAGACGGATTGATATCAAATCTTTATGATATAGGTATACGAGGTAAAACACTAAACTTTATAAACGATTCTCTAAGAAATAGAACATTCCAGGTAAAAATAGAAAATACACTGTCGCACATAAACAACACAGAAAACGGTCTATCGCAAGGTAGTACCATAAGTCCAATCCTGTTCAACCTTATGCTCTGTCAAATTCCCACAACCCCCTCAGTCTCCATATCTTTATACGCAGATGATTGCGCCATTTGGACTTCAGGACCTAACATTAATTTTATAGTAAATAGAATTCAAAATTGCTTAAACAACCTACAAATTTGGTTCGAGCAAAGGGGCTTTAATCTCTCCGAAAATAAAAGTACCCCGGTGCTCTTCAGCAATAGCAACAGAACAAACCTCCCCGTAATAAAACTTAAAGAAAAAGAACTGCAATTCCAAGCAAATCATAAATTTCTTGGCGTCACGTTTGATAAAAAATTAACATGGAATACCCATATACAAGATATCAGAAACAGATGTAGAAAAAAAATTAATATCCTGAAAAGCGTCGCTCATACAAGTTGGGGAAGTAACACAAAAACATTACTGATGCTATATCGATCTTTAATAAGATCAATGCTAGACTACGGGTGCGAGGCATATGACTCGGCAAGCGAAAGCTCCAAAAAAGTTTTAAACACTATGCAATACATGTCCCTACGTATATGTGCAGGTGCTTTACACGGCACATCCCTCGCCGCCCTACAGGTGGAAATGGACGAGCCCCCTCTTGAGTTAAGAAGAAAAATGCTGACAGAAAAGTATCACGTCCATCTTTCCCGTGTGACAAACCACCCATTAAAACCAAACATCCAACCATGTTGGCAATTTGAAAAGTTAAAGAATAAAAAAGTGAGACAACCTTTTGGTTTGAGAATAAAAAATGAAAAAATAATAGACTCAATTACAGAAAAAGTCATACCACTTCCTATCCCCCCCTGGCACAACTATACTCCCCAAATATCCATTGAACTAACTGAATCAATAAGAAAAAATGATAACCCGAGTGAAATGAGACTAAGAAGCATAGAACTCATAAAATCAAAATGGAATAACAGCCTTCATATATATACGGATGGCTCAAAATCCCCATCAGGCACAGCAGCTGCGTCCTTTTTTGTCCCACATTTTTCAATAAGACAATCTAAACGTCTTACAGACCATACCTCAAGCTACCGAGCAGAGTTAGCAGCAATAACAATTGCCCTATTATGGGTTGAACAACTAAACCTGCACGCAGGGGTTGTGATATTCACAGACTCCCTCAGCGCACTCCTCTCAATGCAATCAATGAAAGGAGATAAGTCAGATAACTTCATAAACGACATCAAGTATATATACACAAGACTGGCATACAAAGGCATTCAAGTCCATCTAGAATGGATCCCCTCTCACTGTGGAATACAGGGAAACGAAATAGCGGACCTTCTCGCAAAACAAGCCCTAACTGAAGAAATACAAATAAATAACAAGCTATGTTTGTCTGAAATGAAAGCAGTATTGAAAATAGAACTATACAAGAGTTGGGAAGAAACATGGCAAAATTACAATAAAACAAACGTAAGACCTTTCAAACCAACAATTCAACATAACTTTGAGAGCACCCTTTTTAGAGACTGCGAAGTCATAATTCGTAGGCTCAGACTTTGCAACATAGGACTAAACGCAGACCCCTCAAAAGTATGGGTATCCCAAACAACCCAACCTGGCCAAGCCAACAAAAATTGTAAATACTGTAACACCCCTGAAACAATAACACACTATCTGATGGAATGTCCAACATATACAATAGAAAGAGCAATGCTGATAATGGAAAGTGATATAACGAGCCCAAACGAAATTATGAAACTCCTAAAATCAACAGAAAGTGCGACCCAGAGAGCACTGATCCGCTTCGTTCGTAGAACGAGGCGTTTTGAGTGTTCCTAATTTTTTTTTTTTTTTTTTTTTTTTTTTTGCACATATCGCACGACAACCAAATGCCCTAAGATATTGATACCTACTTTGATAGAAAAATAAGGTTTTACAAAATGGAAAAATACTAGAAGAGAAAAGGTAAGAAAGAGTAAAGACGGATTGAGGACGGTAAACCCCAAACAAGAGACTCTGGAGATCTACCCCAGAATCCTCTCACCGGCACCAGAGTTGCCTAGGCCAATGATGGCCGAGAAGATTGCGCAATGTACCGCGCCGGTCTGGCAGGAAGGTGCCAATTGCGGTGAGGGGTTTTCATGGACCAGTAGATCTGAGATTATATTATCCAAAAAAAAAAAAAGAGATGAGTATGAATTTACAAATAGTACCAAAATATAGAAGAAAAAAAGAAAGAAATAAAGTGAAAGGCGTAAATATTCTAAAAAAGAATGAAACGCCGATAATACCAAACAACAACATGTACTGGATGTGACGCCATGTTCACATGCAGGGCCAGATCATCAGTTGGGGGGAAAATGGGGTTAAAATTTGTGGGGTAAGTATATGCTGTATATCTGGCCCTGTTGTCACAGTTCCATGTTAGTAGTTTTCTGCTGGCATGGATCTCCCCTGATCCTCCCCTGATGGCAATTTTCGAATATGATAAATCAAAATTTATCAAAGCTCTCGACATATCTTTAATTTCATATCATTTCTCACTCTGTTTAACCATTATTTTCATGCATTTGTTAGATGTGTATTTTTTGTTTTGTTTTTGAGACTTTGAGACGGTTTCAGTAATGTAGTAAAACATGCTGATGCGTATTGACCTCTAGCGCGGTATACTTGCTGAGAGGCAGCACGATTTGAATTTTCAAAGTATTCTTTCTAACATCATTAAGTTGAAACAAGGGAAACGCTCTCGGCGGTCTCGCCTGCATTACATGAGCATCATACAAGGCAAATAGACTGGATGTTTAAGAGTGCCTAGATTTCACACTGATTGCTATAAGTGTAGCCCAATTGTTTCCTCTATATTTGAATGGAATAATAGATAATACGATGAGAACGGCTTCTGCTGTCAATTCATTTTTGAATGGCTCAGCCGACCATACACTACATGCATGTTCTGTAATATTAACATGATTTATTCACATAATTGCGACTTAATCAATATTTTCCTATTGGCATTACTACGGAGCCCGGGAAGGGACATGGTAAAAATATTTTTATCTCGTTAAAACGAGATAGTATCTCGTTTTAATGAGATAGTATCTCGTTTTAATGAGATAGTATCTCGTTTTAATGAGATAGTATCTCGTTTTAATGAGATAGTATCTCGTTTTAATGAGATAGTATCTCGTTTTAATGAGATAGTATCTCGTTAAAACGACATAGTATCTCGTTAAAACGAGATAGTTATCTCGTTTTAATGAGATAGTATCTCGTTAAAACGACATAGTATCTCGTTTTAATGAGATAGTATCTCGTTTTAATGAGATAGTATCTCGTATAAGTCCATTGCATACTGGAACCGGGTGGTCCCTGTATTAAGCGGTTCTAGGACAATTACCCCCTGGGCAATCACCCCCCGGAAATTTACCCCCCGGAAAACTACCCCCGAAGGACAATTACCCCCCGGAAAATTACCCCCCGGAGAATAACCACCCGAGGACAACTACCCCCCAAGGACAATAACCCCCCGGAAAATTACCCCCCGGAGAATTACCCCCCGAGGACAACTACCCCCCTAGGACAATTACCCCCCGGAAAATTACCCCCCGGACAACTACCCCCCGAGGACAACTACCCCGAGGACAATTACCCCCCGAGGACAACTACCCCCGAGGACAATTACCCCCCGAGGACAACTATCCCCGTGGACAATCAGGATTCAATAGCAAAAGACGATCTGATACATTGAGAGATGGCTACGAGCCTATAAGACCCCCTTCATGAACCCATATTCGCTCAAATACTAGCACGTTGTCTTCCTCGTTACTAAACATTTCCCTTTAATACATATAAGTTATACAACGGCAGTGCGGCTGCTGATTTCCACGAAGGATGTAAGTTTTAGGTAATTGTCAAGCGCTTCTCAAAATGCATAGAAATACATTTCTCTTGAGCAGCGTTATTTCAACTTTTTGAGTCATGGTACCCTCTTAAAAAATGAAAAGTTTCTCCCAAATCCCAAATTCTTCACAGACTATCTATTTTGCATGACCCAGGCACTCGCCAAGTGCTATGTTCATGGGTGTCGATCCCGGGGGGGGGGGGGGGGGGGGATGGGGGGATATATCCCCCCCAAAAATATTTCAGGTGGGGGGGGGGGTGGCCTGTCCAATCATCCCCCCCCAACAATTCACCATAAAAAAAAAATGAAGAGAAACATTAATGATGAGAGCCCGATGAGAGTAGTTAATGGTTATTACTCGCAAGATGACCATCAGTATACACATTTTGCAATCTCATTTTCATAATACATACGTAAATGAGACATCCGTATATGAAACAAGAATAAATTGAATTCTCGCTCATACGGCTTCATCAGGAATTGATCAATTTATTCAATCAACAGCATCATAGAAATGCAGTGCGCCAAATGCAAAGCCGCAGCGTTAAAAAGCAACGAGCTAAATATCAAGCGCGAAGCGCAAAAGTGCAAAAAAGAAGTAGAGAGTGGGAGAGACAGAGAGGATACAGGCGCGTATACAGGCGCGCGTAAAAAACGCCGGCCAAAAAAAGAGAGAGAGAGAAAGAAAAAGGAAGAGGACGTAGGAAGAAAAAAGATTAAGAGTCAAGAACGGTACAACGAATCGTCATCTTTCTCTTATAATGTAATGAAACGTCGAAGTTTCGCGCGGGAGGGGGGGGGAGGTTGGGGAACTGAATTTAGACAAGGATTAAGAGTCGAGAATGGTACAACAAATCGTCTTCTTTCTTTATTAACTTAATGAAACGTCAAAGCTTTCGCGCTTCGCGCGGGAGGGGGGGGGGGGAACTGAAATCAGACAAGGATTAAGAGTCGAGAATGGTACAACGAATCGTCTTCTTTCTTTATCAATTTAATGAAATGTCAGAGCTTCCGCGCTACGCGCGGAGGAAGGGGAACTTTATTCAAACAAGGATTAAGAGTCGAAAACGGTACAACGAATCGTCTTCTTTCTCTAATAATTTAATTAAAGGTCAAAAGAAATTGAATTTAGACAAGGATTAAGAGTCGAGAACGGTACAACGAATCGTCTTCTTTCTCTAATAATTAAATGAAACTTCAAAGCTTCCGCGCTTCGCGTGGGACGGGGAAACCCCCCCTCCCTGCAGCCACCCCCTTTAGGGAGCGCGCTTCGCGTGCTCACTACCGCCCCCCTAAAATAAAATCCTTGCTACGCGCTTGAGAGGATAATAACCCAAGTTGCAAGCCCACATGGGTCCCATATTCTCTGAAATGTTATCTTTATTGAGGGTGACTTGAAAAAATTAATAACTTGTAAGGGAGGGGGTGCAACCTGCCACACACTTCTACCTCTCGGTTGCTTTTATCCATTGCCGAAATTATTTTGGCACCTATCACCCCCCCCCCCCCCCCCCCCCCCCCCCAACCACGGATAAAAATCGACACCGTTGTGACCAACAATGACGGTCGCATACTACCGGGTACCCATTTAACACCTGGGTGGAGAGTAGCAAGTGCAGGTTAATATCTTGAAAAAGGATATTAGTGCCGGTGTCGTGATTCGAACCCTCGACCTGCGCATATCATACTCCCGCATGACAACATAAATATATAGATAACAGAAATATATAGATAACGTGAAGAAAACCTTAATTTCGGATCATGGTCGAGGGCCCATTATACAAAGACAAATACACGATCAGCTTAAAAAGTGACAGAGGATGCGTAAA